AGAGGAAACCGACGTGAACACGGGAAGAACATACAAACTCCACACAGAAACGCCAACTGAGCCGAGGCTCGAACCACAGACCCAGCGACTGTTGCGACAATGCTTCGCCCTTCCTGCATAAATCTCATTATCAAAACATTGACACTTTTTGACACTTGGTTTTGTGGTGCAGGGTCACATGTGCAGACATATGAATTGAAGGTTACTGAACTTTACTGTAGGTTCCAGCTTGATCTCAATGATTCTGTCACACAGACTTCCTCTAAACTCGCAGTAGCCAGTTTACCAATGCTGCATCATTTTCCATCTCAGTGCTGGTTTTAATTTCAGTGTCTATTTTGTATGTTGTGGTTGTAACTCTTCCAGTTAAGCATGCTTGAGCACTGTGGGTAAATCTTCAGGAAACAATCCATTTGAGTTGAACTCGTCCCCTCAAGCGTGACCTTGTAGGAATTCTTGGTTAGATGTTGCATGATTTATGAAACAACCTACATTTAAACAATGGCTTAGACGTCAAACTCGATTTGTGTCTAGGCCAAACTGGCATTTTGTGCAGCCCCATGAGTCCGTGGAACCCCAAGTGCTTGAAAGAATTGTTTAAAAATCTTTTTTCTACAAGCAACAGTTCCTAGTGGTAAATGTTTATTTTAGTGAGCTATTATACACATATAGATTACAGATGTTAGTAGACTGTATTGATAGAAGTGGTGGCATGTGGGGATCGCGGATTATTAAAGCTGCTTTCACATAGCTATCATTGCTTTTTGATTTAATAGTTAATAATGTATGTTTCTAACAAGCCCTTTAATAATGATTTTTACAGTACGAGTTTATGCATCAATGTGTTTTATAGGATTTGAGAGCGAAATTGGTCATGTGAATCATGTGGCTTTAATTTGTCCTCAGCTGGTTGGAGGGTTGTTTATTTTTCTTTCTTTCTGCTAGGAAAAATTAAATGATGATACATTTTCATTGGTTTTGTCCTCACCACAAGTTTCTTATTTCTAGAATCAACATGAAACAACACGCATAACACAGTGTATCACCATAATGTGACATTTCTCGGTGAAACAGGATATTTAACAAGGGGAAAAAATGGGAGGCAATTGTTTTTATCCACCCGGAATAGAGTAGATCAAGTAATTCCTTATAGAAAACTACATCAGCATCACATGTTAAAATAATTGGTCCCACTTTATATTAAGTGGCCTTAACTAATATGTACTTACACAGGAATTAATAGTTTGTTACAATGTACACTTATTGTAAATACATGTATTTATTATGTACTTATGTTTGATTAAATACATGTATGTAATTACATCTGTAATTAACTTTTGTAGTTACATTTGTAAATACACTGTTGACCATCCCTTACACCTTAACCCACCCTTAAACCTACCCATGCCACCAAACCTGTCCATAACCCATCCTCTATCCCAACTCAAAAGCACCACAAGTGTTCGCAAATACATTATAAATGAAGTAAATACATTGTATTTATTTTTTTATGTAAGTACATAGTAGTTAAGGACACTTAATATAAAGTGCAAAATAAATGGTTTTATAATATTTTAATGTGTTTTTTTATGTGTTATATATATATATATATATATATATATATATATATATATATATAAATATATATATATATATATATATACTTTATTTTTATTTATTTATTTATTTTTTTCATTTACCACTTAAAAGTGAACTGTTTCAGATGTGGCAAAACAACATATTTGAGAATTTGTTGACAGACTTTCAATGCTACTTCTATTCAGTAAAATATCTGTAAATATTAAAGGCTAGTTCATGAAAAAAAAAAAGAAAAACATGTTATTAATTACTCAACCTCATGTTCTAACCCTGAGATCTTTGTTCATTTTCAGAACACAAGGTAATATATTTTATATTAAATTTGAGCTCCCTGACTCTCCATAGACAACACGAGTTAAAGAGCCCCTATTAAACTGTTAAAAAGGTCATATTTTGGGTGTGGGGGTCTCCAACAACAGGCTGATATGCATACAAGGTCAGAAAACACCTAAATTATCTTACAATATGCATTTATTTACAATATTATAACCTCTCCTTACCATGTTGCTAATCTGCGCTGATTGGTCCGAAGACCCAGTCTATTGCGATTGGTTGACTGCTTTAGCGTGAGACAGAGAGAATTGCCCATCACTGCATGTCAACTGTTCTGAAGTAGTTAGAGTGAGAGTGTATGTGTGAGCCCAATGCAGTTGAACACCTGCACATTGCTCTATTCTTAATCATGAGTAAAAACAGTGACACACATTCAGTATTAATCTACACAGTGGAAAAATCTGAACTATTTTGAAACTTGACCACTGCACGTGTGGGAACGGCTGACGGTGGGCATAGCAACAATAAATGGCAGAGGATTGCGAGCTCTCAAACGCATTTAAATCCGTAATGAAGAGGGCACGCTTCGGGTTTCCAATGGAATTTTAGACATGATATGAGAATAACTAGAGAAAACAAGTAGGCAAACATCTTAATCGCACTTACTTACACTTACTTGTGAAATGGAGGAAGGAACTGATCTATGAACTGTGTACTGTTAAGTTCAAGCTCTGACAAAGTCCCAAACTTCAATAGTCTTTTCTGATCCTTCCTTTAACAAACGGCTGATGAATCCCCCATTGTAAGTGTGTAGATTGCGGAAGCACTCATCAGAAAAATGATGGGAACACTGCATAAAGCTGGAGCTATAATGCTGAGGTATTATTGCAAAAAACTCTTCACAGCCTACAATCTTTGGATAGGAAAAATAACACTAACTTTCCCTCACACTTCAGAGCACAGCGTCTTCGCGACATGATTCAACTGGGATCTGCTATGTTTGTCTTCCTTTTTTTTTTATTTTCCCGGGTCTGCGCACACTACAAATGGATGAGGCTTGAGTCCCATTCAACATCACGCCAACACAGCTGAAGATTCGTTACCCGACGATTCATTTAAACCACTCTGAGTCAACTCTTTTTTTCAGATTAATCAATAGTTTTAAACATGGCGCATGTCCAGATTTAAGCCTTAGCTGGATATTTCACTTCATCTAGAGCTGGTACACACGGCATAGAAGGTCATTTTCAAAAATCCATAATAGGGGCTCTTTAAGACATTCAAATTTCAGAAAGGGAAGACATTATAAAAATAGTCCATGTGACTAGGGCTGCACAATATATAGAAAAAGTATTGTTGTCGCAAAAATTATATATATGTATATATATATATATATATATATATATATATATATATATATATATATATATATATATATATATATATATATATATATACTCTCTCTCTCTCTCTCACTCACACACACACACACACTCTCTCTTTTTTTTTCTCTCACATATATGTGTGTGTGAGAGAGAGAGAGAGATATATATATATATATATATATCTC